TAATTTAATGAAAGTTTAGAAATTTGATGTTAATGTTTACAAAAATAGTAAATTAAAAAATGGAACAATCCTACTTTTCAGAAGTGCTCATTGTCTTTAAGTGCTCCATAATTGTAGTATTTCATTACTTGATTCTGATAATCTTTAGAGAAAATGAGGTAAAAGGTCCACTTTTCTTATAAAATTTTTAAATTTTCTTGAGAATGGTTGTAATTGTTCTCTGTACAAAAGTAATACTATTGTTGCCCATAAATTTATAGAAAGTATAATTATACTTTTAAAAACAGAGTATTTTGTCTGAGGCTTTTCTTTTGGTTTCCTATTACTTTTATGAAGAGTGTATTTCTTGTAGAAGAATTAAGCACTTATGGAGATCTGTCAATGGTATTAGTAATTGTATGTAAACTTGAACATTTTGATTAATTCTTTTACTTTAAATAAGATCTATGAAAACAAAGAATATAATTGGTTGTTTCTCTACAACATTCTCAGCATCTAACACTGTACTTTATACAAAGTAAATATTATAAATATTTATTATAATAAATTAATAGCATGTATCCCACACAGTCTTACATACACAGTGTTAAAAAATAATGTATACCTGTCCTCACTGAGTTTATAATCTAGTAAGGGTACAGAGAGACAAGCAGTGACACAAGGCTATAATTGTTTAATAAACACCATTATGAAGTCACTCTAGACACAGGGTGTTATAGTGACTTTAGAGAAAGTGTTAAATACCACAACATTAAATAGGCAGAAAAATGCCATATGTTGCTCTAACATATCAATGTGAATTTTTGCCCTATTACTAACAAAGTAAGCATTTGCTTTATTTATTTCCTTGCTTACTTTTTCTGGTCCTGATAATCCATCCCATTTATTGATTTGGACTCTCTTTTCATCTACCTAGTAATTCACCAAAACATTACATTTGTGCTGCTTTGTGACCACAGGTTGTGTCTTTCACTCCTAATAATTTTCTTACAAATTAATGTTAGTGCAGCACCGCAATGACAAACAAAGCATATGGGTGTAAAATCAATGGCCCAAATCTATTATCTATTTGGAAATTAACTCTGTGTTTATAGTCAGAAACTAGTTCAGATAATAAAGATAATGCTATATTTTATATGTTATATATACATCTACTATTTATTTTAGGACTCTTTGAAAATACAAGTTGTATATAAATATGCTTAAGGAGAGATCAATTATGCATCAAATCATTGTGTGTCAGATGCTTTCATTTGTAAAGGTTGAGTAAGGTTTACGTGCAAAATGTCATGCCTATCTCACATTCAAAAACAGAGAAATTAGATCTTGTGTGCACACTCAGTAACTCTGCTCCTGAGCTACAAAGGGTTACCTAAGTCATCATTACAATTGATTGCAAATCTTAATAAAGATGGTGACTACATACATCCCTGCTTGAGTTAGGTAAATGAAAGAGTTGGCCATTTAGGATTTAGTTTCGAAGAGTAAAGTAGCAAAATTTTTTTCCTGCCTGTTTTGCTAATTACCCCATTTTGAGTATGACAGTGAACACTTCTGTCACTTTATTTTCCTTATTTTACTACATGACATTTTATAACATTATCTTTGCTATATTAATCTAGTCTAAAATCTTCTCCATAAAGTGGATATAAAAATTGTTTTAATGGAATATTTTAAAACATGGTATACCTCTTCGTTAATAAGCACATATATAGAAACTCAGGAACCACCTGGGATTTGGTTGTGATTGGTGTAAAATGAGTTAAATTCTACCTATCGTGGGTTTCTTGAGAGAATAATGTGGATGATCCTATTGCAAAACTTGGCATTTCATCAGAACATAAAAGTCCATTTTTTTTCTCTTCTGCTTAGCAAGGAAGAGGCTTTATGTATTATCTAATTAAACACCCAGCCAGATGGAGACCTTCCTCCTCCTGCTCAAGTGAAGGCTGGGAAGTTCTTTACTAACTGAGATCAGCTTCCAAAGTCTCTGTGGAGTTCTATTTCCTCTGTTCTGAGGTCACCCTTCTGATCACATGAAGGAAATGCCCCAGAAATTCTATTAAAACCCTTAGAAAATGTATTATTGGTATTGACAAAATGATCATTAGTAAACAAAAATTAAAATATTACAAAGGAAACCAGTACATAATCAGCATCTGGCTTTTATTAAAAAAATGTGTTCATTCTATGTATAAACCTCATCATTGCCAACAGAATTTGGGCCATACAATTCCACTTTATAATAGCTTCA